CTTGAACCTTTAGGATATGACTTGAAATTTTAGGATATGACTTGAACCTTTAGGATATGACTAGAACCTTTAGGATATGACTTGAAATTTAAGGATATGACTTGAACCTTTAGGATATGACTAGAACCTTTAGGATATGAATTGGAATTTTAGTTTATGAATTGGAATTTTAGATTATAAATTGAAATTTTAGGATATGATTTGAACCTTTTAGGATATGAATTAAAATTTTAGGATATGATTTGAACTTTTTAGGTTTAGAAGTTGAAATTTTAGATTATAAATGAAATTTTTAGGTTGCGGGAGGAACCGTCGTTCGGATATGGATTGAACCTTTTAGGATATGAATTCAACCTTTAGGATATGAATTGGAACTTTTAGTTTATGAATTGAAATTTTTAGATTATAAATTAAAATTTTTGGATATGAATTGAAACTTAGGATATGAATTAAATTTTGGTTATTGTATTGGAATTTTAGATCGCGGGAGGATTTTGTAGAAGGGGTTGATGACTTTATTATACATGCAATGGAACTTCCACCAAGAATAACTAAGACACATCCTGCAGAGTGTGCCTTTAATGTTCTTCTCATTAGCGACAACGATGATGAGAAGGCAAGAACATGTGTTTCAAATAGTTATGGTGTAGGTAGAGTTTAACATTTCCTAAGTAGATAAAAGAAGAGGTAATAGAGGAATTCTATACTTTATTTTCCAAGAGGAAAAAGAGTTTAATTGGAGTGCAAGGTTGATGGTGATGGAATATTTGCCGTTGGTTATGACAGTTCCATAAAACGGGATCATAAGACTCTATGATGACAAAGATTATAGGAAGTTTTTTTCAACTTTCTTCCAAGTCTGATCCGTACAAGCTTAATTGGGATATTGGTGATATTTCTTCGGATTAGACAATGATTGACTGACAAAAAAGTACGGAAATGCTAATTTAAAGAATAAAGGTAAAATATTTTCAGCATCTTCTCTACCAAGAAAACGTTTTAGCTTTAATTCTTTTGATTAGCATTCCATACTTTTGTCAGTCAAATCATTGTCTGAATCCGAAGAAATATCACCAACATCCCATTAAGCTTGTACGATCAGACCTGAGAATGAGAAACAAACTTCCTATAATCTTTGTCATCATGGTCTTATATATCCCGTTTTATGGAACTGCCACGACCAACGATAAACATTCTATCACCATCAACCTTGTCACTATCAATTAAACATTCTTTTCTTCTTGGAAAATGAAAGTAAGAATTCCTCTATAATCTTTCTTTTATCTACTTAGGAAATGTTAAATTCCTGCCTACACCATCACTATTTGAACACATGCCATTGCCTTCTCATCATCATTGTCGCTAACTAGAACAACAATTGATCAAAAGACACACCCTGTCAGCTACTGTATCCAAGTTATTCTCTGTATCCAAGTTTATCCCGAGGATAATCACCAAAGTCACCAGACGCTTTATTGATGCATAATGAAGCAAGATCATGAGATATTCAATGAAACTCGTATTGTAAAGAAGAAGAAAGAGACTGATTTAGAAAGGTGGGTCGAGGGTCGATCCTCGACTATACATGTAAGTTTTTTACTTTTCATTAAGTATTTTTATTTACTTTTATATAAATTTTGAATACTAATTTAATATAATTTTTCTTATAGGTTCGCTTCACAGCTGATGTGGAGGAATTCATACGCAGTCAGCCACCTAATGAGTTGGGCGAGGCAATCCAACTTTCGGACGAGGATGCTGAAAGAACACTCCTTGAGTACTTTATATACTTTGAACTAGACAATAGAACCAGTTTTCGAATGAGCTTGTAATAAGCGTTAACTTAGTTTTGTTAGCTTAATGTGTTAGTTCTATTGAACTTTATACTTCGTTGGTTTTAATGTTGTGTTGTTGTTGTTGTTGTTGTTGTGTTGTTGTTGGTATTGTGTTTGTTGTTGGCTTGTAATAGGATTGGTGTATGCTGGCAGGTGGTGTAGCTGCCAAAATAGGCAGTTTCTACCAAAAATAATACCAGAAAAGCGACCAACTTTGATCTCTTTTTGGTCGCTTTTCATTAAAAAAAATAATTTTCTGGGCAATAGCGACCCAAAGTTGGTCTCTTTTTTATCCAGATTTCTAAAAAAGCGACCAACCTTTTGTCGCTATTCCATTAAAAAAAAAATAATATCTGGAAAAATAGCGACCAAACTTTGGTCGCTTATATTTAAAAAAAAATTAAATTCTTGAAATTAGCGACCACTTTGGTACGCTTATTTTTAAAAAAAATTAAAAAAATTATAAAATAGCGACCAACCTTGGTCTCCATTTTCTAGATTTTAAAATATAATATTTGGATTAGAGACCAAAGTTGGTCGCTGTTTTATGAATAATAATAAATAAATAAATAATATATTTTACATTTAGAGACCAACTTTGGTCGCCAAATTTATATTATTAAAATAATAAAGCGACCAAAGATGGTCGCTATAGTCAATACCCGGAATATTTGGTCATTTTACCTTAGAGACCAAAGTTGGTCACTAATTAGCGACCAACTTTGGTCCCTAAAGTGAAGGGACCAGCAATATAGCGACCAGGCATGTTTGGTCGCTTTTTGGTCGCTTTTAGGCCTATAAGCGACCAACTTTGGCCGCTTTTTGTGGTCGCTTTTTACCGGATTTCTAGTAGAGTTTGTGAAGATTTTTTGGTATTTGCATCAAAGCAGTGTGCTTCAATTTCTATTTTTTGGCACAATCTTTTCAACTTTAGTGGTAATGCACTGCATTCAACAAACCTCTAAATCTAAGTTTTATATAATGAAGCTCTAGAATGCAATCATTTTCAAGAATGAATGGAAAAATTGGCTTATTGGGATGAACACTTTTGTTGGTTATTGCACATTCACACACGTTAACATAATAGCAAATCTAACAGGGTCAGGGGAAGAGTTGACATTCATTAAAAGAATTACATTTTGTTGTTACTGGTATTCCACAGGTGCCTTAATTATCTTCTGGTCTTCTTATTGACCTATGTTTTCCAAATGGTTTACATTATCATGGATTACATTTTTCATGTGTTCCCTTGGATGGACTACTTGGTCAGTAAAGTAACAGACATTTAGCTATATGGATGACCAATTTAGTCATTAGTAAACCTGAAGTCAATAAAGGTACTAATGTGGAGAAATTGAAACCTTTGCTTATTAGAACAACTTGCTCTGTTCCCTGCCAATTCGTGAAAAATTTAGCATTATGCTACGAAGGGATTAAACTAATCCACTTGAACTTACTTAGGAATCTTGAAATGAATTAATTCAATAAAGAGATAACTTCAAGAAATACTTGTTGTCCTTTGTCCTAATTTCAGGAAGCTTTCAATGTTACACATTGGCTTTGCTTATAACAGGACAAATAGTAGGCATGTCTTGCTTGAGTACAATGGTCCTAAGATGCATGAGGATATTAGGTCCATTTGCTTGCTGATGTTGATGTGATTAGAAAATTTGGTGCTTACTGGAATTCTTTTTGTCAAGTCGATTCTTGCTTAACCCCATACCTCCAGAAAATTTTAGGTCAAATACTATTCATGGCACGATTGAAATCTAAGTTTTTTTGCTGATAAAATATAGGTGTGACATATTGTTGCTGCTTATCAGGAACTTCACTTTTGTGCTAATGTTGGCATATACTGTTTTTGATTTATTACAGTTTCTTAGCTGTGCTAAGGATAGTAAACAACCTCCTTATTATGTAAAAGTTCTCAAATAGGTTAAACTTGTTATAGTGCTAATCTAGAATTTTATTAGAGAACTCAGAGGTATGAATGTCAGAAGCATGTGAATTTTTTCTTTTACCTTATGATATTAGAGACAGAAAAATTGTAAAGTTCACCGAAAGTTCTCATAGTGTTTCTGTTATCTTTGACATGTAAAATGGGTCACTGACTTAGATGAGTACTTTGTGCAGCTTTTTACTTCCTATTTTTACAGTTATTACACATAGAAGTTCCAATTTTCCCGCCTATTGGAGCTCCTCCAAAGCCTTTTGATCATCATTTGGTTATTATTCAAGTCAATGTTGGTGGTTTGATATTGCTCTTTGCTTCTTGTGTTAACTGCAAAAGCAATAGATGGTTAGACAGCCTTTTTATATAGTTTGTTAAGATATACAAATTATAAGTCCATGTTCAACTGAATATTATACAAGGTCTACTTTGGTCTTCTCCAAAATTTTACTGAAAGCTAGATCAACTTCACCGATGGTGCAATATAATAATTCCCCGGTGCATACATACCAACAATTACTCTGTTCTTCGTCTACTTCTCTTCATCTTCTTTTTTAACCCACTTCATCTTTAGATTTCTTTTTATGTCAAGTTTACCGATTTGGTTGCTACTTCTGACATCACGGATTATTGAAAGTCTTATCTAAAGCTTCTCTCAATTACATAGCTAAAGTTAAGATGAATCTTCAGTAGAAATGATTGCCTGCTCAAAGTTAAAATAGGCTCTGAGTGGATTTGTTCAGAAGTGGAACAAACTTTTTTCCCTTTCATGTTATTTGCAGTATTTATTGATCTAATATTCTTCTTTTTGTTTAATGTGCAGTAGGTATTATTTATAGTTGTATAAAGATGAAATTTCTTTGTCATCTATAATTTGGTTATGTGGGATAAACTATACGTAAATATGTATCAGTATCTGTCACTTAACTCGTGCTACTTACAACTACGTGTGCACAGTTTATTTTCAACATGCACATTGTTTCGCATGCTTTTACCTGGATAAAAAGAACAAAAGATCAAGTCATTTTGTCTCTTACCCACTAAGCTTTCCTCCTATTGTTTCTCCGTGTTAAGACTTTGCAGGCAGAAACTTTTTACGTCGAAGGAGAAATTTCGCTACCTGAGCATTTCCAACGATTTTACCTGCTAGGTTGTTCTGAATGTAACCATCTTGCTCGAAGCAAAATAAAAAAGGAGATTCAATGCATAAACTGCAGATTGCCACGAATGTTAATTCCAAGGTAACAACTACTACTAATAAGATTATGTCATTGACAATATTTGATATTGTATGCCATCCATTGTACCTCAACAAAAATAATTTACAACATACCACATTATAGGTGCCACTTTGAGGTAGAAATTATAGACGAAACTGGCACAACAACAGCAACAGTGTCTGAAGGCTTGGGCGAAAGAATGTTGTCAATGACAGCTGAACAAGTATATGATATCGCCAGTGTTAAGGTACATACACATACAACATTGCAGTTAACATAAGTCAACAAAGTTAATATAATACTCTAATATGATATCCATTATTTTTACTATCTGTTTGCAGAATAAGTTATTCCTTGTTGCCCATATCAATCAACTACTTACAGATAAACTCTTCAGAGTTCAGCTATAAAGGTCATCATCTAGAACACCAGACAAAAATGCAGGTTCTCTAGTTCTTTTATCATACACTGAAAAGCCAACCATGTTTCTACCAGAAGAGTCAACATCTGCAAGTGGTGCCGATAGAATTATGGAAGAAGAGCCAATACTTGTAACTGATGCAAAAGCAATTAAGAAACGAAAAAGGGAACCAAGTACTCTACCAAAGCCACAATCAAGGTTAGAAACTCAAATGCCATATTTTACCATGTACTAATGTTCTTAAAATGAATATTTTATTTGTACAGATTGTCGAGGCAGTGATGTTCGCTCAAACGGTATGCGATGTACAGACACATTTTGACAACATTTTGCCAGATCATACCGATCTTTTAACAAAGTTTAGATATTTGGCCGCCTTAACAAAGTGTTCCACATTTTTTTTGGTAAATAGTTGTCAGTAGTGTGTGCCTATGTTGTTGAAGGCAATTGGTATTATTTTTGGATATTGGAGCGGCCTCCAGATGTTGTACATACCAGTCTGTTTATTGAAATATAGAAACTGAATGTAGTTTTGCTGTATATCTTGTCTGCTTGACATCAATGTTACAAACATGCTGTTCTATGCGAAGATTCAGTAATTGCTATGAAGAATGTATCTTTAGTGGATTGATTGAGGCTAGAACTGTACATTGCTGAACTTTGCAATGTGTAGTCCGTTCATACAAGTCACTTGCTTATAAAGGAACACTTTCCCAATGACAAGACACTCAATTGTTGTAAACTACTCTTTGCAAATAAGTCCCTCGATTAAAGCTTTTCAGGGGTTGATCTGATCTGGCTAAGATATTGATTTATTATATTTTCAATTGTAGCGACTTGATGCACAGCTGTCGAATTAGTGTTTAATCGCTTGGTTATATTGCCAGAGTTATCTCAAATTTTCACAGAATGGTGATTTTGTACCATGTATTTCGGCCAAAAATGTCATGCTTCAATTTTATTGGGATAATTTTTGGTTCAAGTGCAAATCCAAATTTATATAGCTTTAGTTGATAGAGTTAAAGAGTGGCTGGAGTCACATCCAACAGGCCCTAGAGAAGTTAATGGTTTTGGTCTCTCAACTGTACTACTGCAGTTACTTGAATTCTTCTCCTTGACCACCAAGATGAATATTTTTAAGTTATAAAGCAAAACCAAACCATTGATGGTTTTTGTTTGTGTTGGTTCTGAAGAACCTCCAAGTGAGAAACACAATAATAATATCAAATAAACATAAAATACCATCTTACCAAAACCTCAAAAACTAATTACTAAAGCTATAAACAGGAACTACACAAAGTAGCGTAATCCGTTATAATTACAAGTGTAAGACAGACAGAGTTCCTAGCCCTTAACATCTCACAGACCATAGAAATATATTAATCACAAAGGTACGATCAACAATAGAAAGCCACATAACTAAACACCACTAGCTTGTCTACTCTACAGTAATAAATCAGGCATATAGGGAAAGTTCTCAAAAAAGAAAATTACATCAGACTCTTTCACTATCCTCTTTAATCATTGCCGCTATCCATCTTAATTACCATAATTCTTGTTTAGATACACTTGATTTTTATGGAATTGAAGAGCGTGTCAAGGTGAAGAATTGTTCTTTAACAATATTATGTCGTAAATCTGCTAGAGCTTCTTTTCGATATCAGCTTCTTTTAATGTTAGTTTTATCTCTGCAATGATAAAACGCAGAACTTCTTATGTATTGCAAGTACTTCTGCTTGAAAAATAAACCAATCTTACAAGTGATTCTTATGTTGTCATGGTACTCTTTACGCTATCAAACAATATTTATGAAAATAAAACAGGGTGATTTTTAAAAATAGCCAGATTTACAACTGGTCGTTCAAAAATAGCCCAATTTCAAAAGTAATCGAAATTTAGCCAGTTTTTATGTAAAGATAAATCTGAGCGAAAACACTGTTCAAAACCCGAAAAATACTCCAGTATATTATGCTGGAGTTCCAGCATAAGTATACTTGAACTCCAACATATTATACTGGAGTTCCAGGATAGTATGCTGGAACTCCAGCATAATATGACGGAGTTCCAGCATAAATACACTAGAACTCCAGCACAATATACTGGAGTTCCAGCAAATATAATGGTCCAGTATAATATACTGGAGTTTGGTGCACCAGTGCTCCAGTCTCCAGTATATTATACTGGAGCCAGCAAAGTATACCAGTCCAGCATAATATGCTGGAGTTCATACACAAGTGCACCGAACTCCAGTATATTATGCTGGACCGGTCTCTATTGCAGCAAAACGGTAGCTATTTTTCATTAACTTGGTAAACGCTGGCTATTTTTGATTGACCAGTCCGAAAACTGGCTATACCGTGAAATTTTGGCAATAAAACACACTCTAATCCAAAGTGTTGGGCCCGGGCCGATCCCATCTAGTTCTTTTCCTATTTTTTAAAATAAGTTTCTTGCACTCGATTCATTCATTTAAAACAATTGACCTTAATCACATATCAAATTATGTCAAGTTCATTCTTTAATTCAAAATTATTCAGTTAACTTCTAATTATTTTATTTGTTAATACACATTATTTATATTTTATCTAGCCATCCAAATATAATTATTTCATATACTTTATTTATTCAACTTCTTTGCGCATATTTTACTACACACGTAAGTGTTTGTATTTTTTGCTAATTGCTCACCATATTGCATTCTTATTAATCATGTTTGTATAATAAAGGTGTCTTCGATGTTTTTTATATTCTTAAATTTATTTGTGATGAATTCCTCCACTTCTCTGAAGTAGTTTATCTTAAGGTTTTGACGGGTATGGCAAATTGAGCGTTATTTGAGGATCTAATTCTGTTTTTGCTTGAATTCGTCAGTGGAGCTTTGAATTGATTGCGAATTTATTTATCAGTTTATTTGATTGAAAGAAATATATTTTGGTAATTATCGTTGCATTACGTAGTTTGGTTTAATTTAGTGATTCTTCTAAGTAATCGAAAGAGCTTCTGAAATTACGTACGATTAAACAAAAAAAGGAGAATATTCGAGAGATGTTTTCCTAGAGACTAATCCATTAATCCTTTTCTTGCATATCTTTATATTGCTTCATATTAGTTATCTCATAATGTAGGTTCATTCGAGAGAATGATCTTGACCTTAAGATTAAACTAATCATTTATCATATTCGTGAGAATCAATAGAACCTTAAGATCTTAAGTGACATCAAACATTAGTTAAATCCTTAGTAGCAATCCCGCATCTATCTTGTCGTGGACCTTATTTCGCATATTGATAGATAGGTTTACTTCAGTTCTCAAGTTTCCTGTGATTGGTTTTGATTGTTGCTAATTTAGTTTATTGTTCGTAGTTTCTAAACATCCAAAATCAACAGTTTATTCTCCCTGAATACTGCTCAAACTTAAATATTATGTAAATCAATCCCTGTTGACATGATATCTTTTATATCATATTTGACTAATGAGCTTTAATTTTATACACTGATTTTGCACTCGTCACAAGCGAACTCACTCATCTGAATAATATAACCTTTATGAATCTGCTGAGACCGAATAAGATACTCCTTCCGGTTCATAATAAGTGACCAGTTTCCTTTTAGCATGCCCATTAAGAAAATGCTAAATCCTATACAAAAATACCTAGTATAACTAAACTACCCTTATTAAATATTGGTCACATAGTTATAGTGAAGAGTGAGAAAAAAACTTTTTAGGGATATGCACATAAGGGTAAAAGAGTAAAAACAAATTGAATTTTTTCTTGATTACCTAACTGGACACTTATTTTGAACCAAAATGAAAAAGTAAACTAATCACTTATTGTGAACCGGAGGGAGTAGTTTTGCATAGCTACATCCCTCGATACAGCGCCTTTCCTCAAGTTTATCGGCAGCATTATTTCGGCGAAATACACTTGTTTCTCTCTCGAGAAAAAAAAAGAGAAAGTGAGTGAAAGTGAAGCGAAAGAGCTTTTTCAAAACCCCTAAGAAAGGAAACATGATAGAGCTGAGCAGGCAAAAATGGAGAAACTTTCTATTTATGTATTTCTTAGTAATCTGCACTCGAAGAAGATCTATCTCCCCAATGATAACTATCACTATCCTTGAACATCACGGCCAGACGAGGTGGGAGGGGTGAGAAGATATGCGAGGTCCTTGCCAAGGCCACTGACGGCAGCCTTGGCAAGCCTCTCAACACGCTCTTGTTTTGCCACTAGCGCCTGATTTTGTTTAGTAAGGTTCTCCAGACTCTCCATGATGTCGATAATGCGGTAGTGGATCTCTAGAAGTCGCTCATTGACACCTCTAGGGGGATCATGCACGACATCATACTTATTCCTTATGGATTTCCGCTCGTTGTTGTTTATCATATCTGCAAACAAGAATTCACAAAAATATTAGAGAATGATAGAAATCAATAAGTTTGTATACTAGTTGAAAGAAGCAGTATACTTGCACAGGAAAAAAAAAAAGACAACACATACACGAGGAAGATTGACTAACCGCTTAGAGGGTAAAAAGGTAGTGTTGCAATTGAATATGGAATTTTTAAGTGTACTTTAACGGGGTTATATATAGTAGGTAATGATTTAGGTTAACAAAGCATTTTGTAATCCCTGGAAAGGTACATTTAACCCTTTAATCTCATCTCAAATGCAACCTCTAACTGTTAATCTACCCTCAAATGTATATAAACACCTGAAAAATATTTAATTTAAATTATATTTAAATTAATTAAATACAACAGATAAAAAAAAATATTTAATACAACTGATCTAAACCACCTGATTGATTGGTGGAAGGCTGAAGTGGGGCAGCTGGTCGTGGCACTGGAGGACTAATACCATTTGGGAGATAAAGCTTTGGTTCTCCAACGGTATCGCATGTCTCAAGTAAAATATCTATTTCAATGATAATGACGACCCTGTTTGAAGAATTAGACAAAAAGAATCAATACACAAACACTGAAATCTACAAGTATGATTATATATATATATATATTGGCATGGTGTGGTTTACAGGTCAGCTGTTTGCTAATTATCTTTTCAAAGAGCCAATATCAGAAAGCTCATCATACAAAAGTATCATTCACTCACTTTAGAGGAAAATTAACAATTAGGGTCTAAACTATACACACATAAGCTGTGCTACAAATCAGAGCACTGTCACTTGCAATACCGACTGCAGGAGCAAAACACTGTGATTTAAGGGAACCCTGCTATAATAGGAAAAAATCTTCCGTATAGACAGAAGTTTAAACCCAAGTTGAGTCTATTCTTCAATTAGGTTTATAAAGCAATCATATCCTAGGTAACTTAGCTATAAGTAAGCAGCAACAAAGGCTACTAATAACCATCAAAAAAAGCAAAATCCCCTACTCTCCCAGGATTTTCGAGTTTATAAGGTAAAGACTGTGAGCACGTGAT